TTTTAAACTTGTTGAAAGTGTACAATTTTATAGAAATAGAAGTTATATATTTGTATTATTTGTATTATATTATAAAACCTGTATTATAATTACATCTGAAAAAATGAGACAGAAAAATATGTATATATAAAAGATCGAAATTCTTCTGTCTTCATAAAATAAATCTTAGAATATCTAAAAATTTTCGAAATGTCACAAAGAACTTTAATTAGCTTTTATCAAAAAAAACAAAAAAGAAATAAAGATAGAATTTCTAGTCTTTTATCTGGAAGATCAAATTTCACTAAAGCAAAAAAAAGACTTCAGTACAAGTAATATTTACTCTGGTAACAAAATCAACGTTAGCAGCAATATCAATGTCGGTAATGAGAGAGAGACTGAAATAAAAGATGTGTTGATATTAGATAATGATGAAAGATGAATATCTCCATCATCATAAGTAAGAAAATGAAGAATAACGGAAATAGGAAGAGAAGACTGACATTCTAATGCTAATTTTTCAAAAATTTTCATATTAAAATATTTAATAAAAATATTTTAAAATGTATAATTTATTTTATTAGGAGAAGAAGAACTATTGACAAGAAAAGAAAAAGATGATCAGATGCTAAATTATTTAAAAAAAATTGATAAAGAAGTTGGAGATTTATGAAAGGAAATAGTTAACATCCAAAAAAAAATTGAAAACAATAAATTATAAAATGAGATATACAATTCAACTTTCGTCAATATAAGCAATTTATTTATTTTCTTTACAAAAAAAACTATTTTACTCATAATATTCTTAATATTCTAAAAAAAAAAAGAAAATTATTAACGAAATTGTGAACAAGATAATTTTAAAAACAATTTATCCAAGTGACAAAATATTGAAAGCAATTATTGTGAACTATATTATTCAAAAATATCCAGAACTTTTTGAAAATTGGAATGACAAATGCTGGACATTTTATTATGATTTAAATATTCAAAAAAAAGTAGGTTTTATCAAATTACCTTATAATTTAAATGCTCTAATAATTAATAAAAAATTTTGAATTATTCAAAGTTAATAGAAAAGCATCAGTCAAGAAGGAGAACTATGTCTTCACAAATCAAAAAATCAATATTTGTGATATTTCAAAATCTTTTATGAATAACTATAAAGGCACCACCAAGTGAGATTAAAAACTGAAAAGAAAAATATGTAATTAAAGAATATTACATCAGTAATTATATTAATTCGAAAACCTTCGAAATTATATCGCAACGTTAGATTTCGAAGGTTATCGATTG